ACTATTAATTTATTAAGTTTTGCATGTATTTGCTTTTACACTGCACAGATTTTTTTCCCCACTGCTTTTGTTACTGAATAAAATTTTATTATTTGGAAAATAATTCAGTTGCAGAATGCTTAGTGATACAGAAAGCATCTAGTTACATGTTACTGTACAGCATGACACCACTCATAGGACTGGTGACAAACACAGTGTAATAATCATAAGTGTACAGCAAGCACCACAAAATTAATAGGGCCATTGACAGTGTTATATTCACAAATGTACGCCAAGCAGCATGCAGTTCCTAGCAGGCCCCAAAACAGGAGGGCCAGGTAAAGCACAGTACACCACAATGCGTTACTGTGCCTCACTATGAAAGTGCTCTCTGAAGGCCTCCCTCAGCTGTATAGCTCCATATTGAGATCTTCTAATAGACCTTTGTCTGGCTGTTCAAACTCAGCAGACCGACAATCCACTCCATCCAGCAGCAACTTTTCTCCCTTTGCATCACAGACGTTACGCAGGGCACAGCAGGCAGCTATAACCATTGGGATATTTTTCTCACAGAGATCCAGTCTTGTGAATAAACAATGCCATCATTCCCTCAGTCTAACAAAAACACCTTCAGTTGTCCTTCTGCACTTGCTGAGCCGGTAGTTGAATCTTTTTGTGGTGCTGCTGTTGATGTGGCTGGAGTATATATTCATGAACCAGGGGATCAAGGGGTAGGCTGGGTCCCTCAGGATCACTACTGGCATTTCAACATCACTAATCGTAATCTGCCATTCAGGAAATAATGTCCCTGCTTGTAGTTTTCTGAACAGCTCTGTATTCTTAAAGATGCGAGTGTCATGCATCAGGCTACGATTTGGCCATGGAGGTCATGGAATCCACGACTTCCGTGGACCTCTGTGACTTCAGCCTGCAGCTGCTGGGAGCTGCAGGGTACCTCCACCTCCCCTGGTGGCCAGGAGCTGCAGGGTACCTCCGCCACCACCGGCAGCTCCCCCGATGCTGCGGACAGCGGAGGGGGAATCCCCCAGCAGCTCTCCAGCCACCACAGGAGGGGGTCCCTCCCAGCCAGAGGGCAGGGGCCGCAGCTCCCACCCACAGCAGGGCAAGGTGCTGAACCCTCCCTCCCTGTTTTGTCATGGACATTTTTACTAAAACTCAGGGACATGTCATGGTGTCCGAGAATTTTTGTTAATTGCCCGTGACCTGTCCATAACTTTTACTAAAGATGTCCATGACAAAATTGTAGCCTTAGTCATGCACTTTCTCTGGCCAGCCAACACTGATGTCAGTGAAGCATCCCTGGTGATCAGTAGAGAGATGCATGCTGTCTATTGCTCCACCACAGTTTGGGACTCCTATTGCTATAAATCTATCCACTATGTCCTGTACATTGCATCATCACAGTCCTGCAAAGCAGGACACAATTAGTGGCCCTGCACGCTAGTATGACAATGCTCCTTCCCCCCCGTCCCACCCCACAAAGGATTTTTCAACTCCAAAATGATTTCCCACTGACTGGTAAGGAATCCGCTGTTAAGACAGGAAGGGTGTTGACTCCACTGCAGGGTGTTCAGATGATCCAAAATGTGTTACTATCTGCTTCAGACTAGTATCTGGGTAAGGTAATATCTTTTATTGGACCAACTTCTGTTGGTGACAGAGACAAGCTTGTCTGCCCTGGGGTTGTGGTGCAGGGGGAGACATATAACTTGGGTAGTTCATAGTTTAAATCCAAATCTCTAAATTGCAAACTGCTTTGTTACAATTTTTTCTTTTAAAGTACTTAATAGCTTTCCCCTTAAAGTGCTATTAAGCAACACCTACATCAAATGTACCTTTGTTTACATGGAAATAAGGCTTTTATCTGATCATTAGGAAGCCAAATGTAAAATGTAAACTTACTTGTGGACCCACAATTTACATACTACACAAGTCAAGCATTGCTCTCTAATGCAAACATACTGTGAGTAAACAGAGACCAATCAAGAGCTCTCTAAACTCAAGCTAAATAAAAAGATAAACATTAGCTTTATTTGAAATTTAATAACATCTCATGAAAGACAGAACTTAATATTATATTGTATTGAAACAAATTGTCAGCTGCAGTTCATTTGGAGATGGCTGGGATTGCAGCACCTGTCATCCAACCTGAAGTCATTTGAAAATATCAAAATACCCCTTTCCTGCTGGTAACCCGAACTGCTTAATATAAAATCAGAATGTGTGTGCGTTTTTTCATACTTACATATGGTGGTCTTGGGTGTTATCGATGGTTTTGTGCATACAGCCCAGAGAGAACATGTGGCTAACACAGCTCTGGGATTCAGCAGATCCTGGGCTCTACTCATGGGTCTGCCACCAGTTTGGTGTGTTACTTTGGGAAAAATGCTAAACCTGTCCGTGTGTCATCTCCTCCATCTTTTAAGCAGAGGAAATAATCCCTCCCACTCTATCTCATAAGGCTGTACAGGGGAAAAATGTGGGTGAATTCTTGTTTCTTTATGATGGATAAAGATCTGGATGGGTTTGCTTTTTCTTAGGGTTTTTTTTTGGGGGGGGGTCATTAAATGTCTAGGCACTGTCTAGTCTAGAAAACTCTATAGTCTTATCTACACTAGGAAACGGATTTCAGAGTAGCAGCCGTGTTAGTCTGTCTTCGCAAAAAGAAAAGGAGTACTTGTGGCACCTTAGAGACTAACCAATTTATTTGAGCATGGGCTTTCGTGAGCTACAGCTCACTTCATCGGATGCATCCGATGAAGTGAGCTGTAGCTCACGAAAGCTCATGCTCAAATTGGTTAGTCTCTAAGGTGCCACAAGTCCTCCTTTTCTTTTTACACTAGGAAAATGATCCATTCCTCACCATGGGTATAGCCGAGCTAGTATTGAACACAGTATAACTAAGCATAGTAGAGGATGAAGTGTATTCATTACTATTTCAGAAGCTATCAAATAAATTAGTTGTTAATTTTAATGCTCATGTTTCACTCTCTTGGTATTTTGGGTATCATGACATTGGTAGTTCTTCAGTTGTCCAGGAAAAACAGGGTGGACAAGGATTTTCAGAAGCATTCAGCATTTAATAGAAGTAGAGTTAGGCCACTAGTTAGTGTGTTTTGAAAATTCCATTCCTAATTTCTAATATAAAAATCAAATAGAAGGCCAGGCAAATAAATAATTAATCTTTCAGGCCTTATTTATGCATCATAAAAGAGAAATAAGCACACAAACCTATATGATTTTCTTTGCAAGTCACTTTTAAAAAGCAGCTTTTTACACTGGGCCAAATCCTATTCCCACTGAACTCGCCAGCAAAACACATTAATTTCTCTGGGAATAGGATTTGGGCCTTTGTGAATGACTGGATAGCAAACAATAGCAGCTGCTGATACCAGCCTGGCAGCTAAATTTTCCTCATTGTAGAAATGTCTTTGGGGAGTGGTGGTGGTGTTTTATTTCCCTAATTGTTATGTTTTGGATTAAAAGTTAAGAGCCCAGACCCAAAATTAGATATATAATAGCTTAGTTTATTGAGTTTATTTAAAGCTACATTCAGACAACACTGAGAAATTGGAGACAGAGAATTCCAGGTCAGACTGATTCCAGAGAAACTCAACTCCTACACATTTTGAAGTTGCATATTACATTAAAAGCATTATATCATAACAACCCCCTGCTGTGCAAGATGCTGTTTCCAGATGTAATATGATCAATAGCCAGGGCTTAAATTCAGCCAGAGTTGTCCAGAGCAGAGCTTCAGTAAATATTTTTAAACCTATGGGGCTGAAGCCCTGAGCCCCGAATGGGGGACGGGGGGAACATAGGGGGTTCCAGGAAATACATGAGAATTTAAGTCCTGTCAATAGCCTTATACAAATTGACCTTTTCATGGTTTTCACACCAAACTCATATTCCCTTACAGGTGTGTCTGGTTTTGTGTGTGTGTGTGTGTTGTAAGGGTTTTTTTAAAGGGAACACTGTGGTATTATATGTGCCTTTAAGTTCTATAGAAACAATCCAAGCACAACTTGTAGGTTTTGTAAGCCTGTCCTCTTATAAAAATCTTGTAAATACTTGGGTTTTTTATTAATTGCATTTTGTAGAAAAAAGTTGTAATTGTGATGAGTGGACTGTCCTCCTAGGTTTCTACACCTTTGGGAATATTTGCCATTTGTGCAGATGGGAAAATAGCAAGGAGACTCTTTTTTTAAAAAGAAATAGAGCTCTATTGATTTAACATTCTATTTCTACGGCAAGTAATACAACAGTGACTATATTGTGGCTTAGTTATGGTTGTAACAGAGCTTGCAAGAACCACGTAAGTTTCTTCAATTATAAATATAAGTTTAACTCCCACACCCTCCTGCACACCAGAGCTTTATCTCTAGTGAAACTGAAAGATGCTGTACTTTCATTTTCTTACATTATCCCTGTCTTTTCTAGACAACTTTTAGGGCTAACATCAATTAGAATGATTTATATTCATTACTTTAATATGGTCACAAGTAAATTTAACAAATGGAAATCCTTCAGTGGGTTAGCTCAAGTTTGGGGGAAAAATGTCTTCCAAGGCATTTAAGCATTCAGACAAAAGATTTGCTTTCAGTTCTTTCAGTGAAGAAAGCGGTCTTCCTCATTCTAAAGCAGATAAACGCCCTTCGCTTGCATAATATTCAAGAATTTTAGAGAGCATTTGGATTACAAAGGCTAGCCGTATAGCTATTTTTAGCCATCTGTTGAGATGCTGTTCTCTAGATTTTCTTTGTTCAAAACTGTGTAATGAGTTTTCAAATGAATTAATAGAGTTCAGTAATGACATTCAGGAGGGAAACAAGGCTGCATATATTTGTTAAAGTATAGAGAGCATGAGGCATTAGAGCAACAAAATGTTGATTTGTCTAGGTTAGAGTTTAACAATAACTATTTTAACTTTTTGCTCTTGAAAGCATCTCTTTGGCATAAGAAAACATTTGATTCACTACTGTGTTTTTCCTTTGTAGAGGTCAGAATATCCTGGATCCAGCTATGGAATATGTGAAGGTACTGTATCACTTCATAACATCAAAATCCTTTCCCAAATATTTTATAGTGTACGTAATCAGCGATAGCCAATTATTAATCTATTTTCCGTTTCTGATCGAATGCAATTGAATAGTACTGCAATCAAATTTTTCAGATTAGGGGAAAAAAGAATTAATTATATTGTGTGAAGCAAACACTTAGAAAATAGAGTACTTGGCCACCAAGGACTGTTTCTTTTTTGGGAGAATATATTCTGATATTCAAAGACCTCTGTTACATCATGAATATTCTCTATTTAGTAACGGCTTTAATTTTTTTTTTTTTTTTTAATGTTTGAATTAAATTGGTTAAATGATCCCACATTTCTCACTGTGAGGTAGGGCCTTTGGGGAAGTAGAAGAAAGAAATAGGTCATATCTCAAAAAGATTACCCTCCGCCCCTGGCCAATCTGAAATTGAGGCCTTATAGATTTGGCACTTTCCTCTTTACAAATACAGCTACAAATTCATCTCTGGTCTAAAAAGCCAGAGCCAGGTCTGGATTTGGTCCACACTAGTTAAGGCAAGGCTGCTAGGTTAAACACTAACACTAATTATACTCAGTGCTGATTAGGCCTCTACTGAAGTATTGTGTCCACTTCTGGGTGACACATTTCAGGAAAGATGTGGACAAATTGGAGAAAGTCCAGAGAAGAGCAACAAAAATGATTAAAGGTCTAGAAAACATGACCTGTGAGGGAAGATTGAAAAAACTGGGTTTGTTTAATTTGGAGAAGAGAGGATGAGAGGAGACATGATAACAGTTTTCAAGTACATAAAAGGTTGTTAACAAGGAGGAGGGAGAAAAACGTTCTCATTAATCTCTGAGGATAGAACAAGAAGCAATGGGCTTAAATTGAAACAAGGGCAATTTTAGGTTGGACATTAGGAAAAACTTCCTGTTAAACACTGGAATAAATTGCCTAGGGAGGCTGTGGAATCTCTGTCATTGGAGATTTTTAAGAGCAGGTTAGGCAAACACCTGTCTGGAATGGTCGAGATAATACTTAGTCCTGCCTTGAGTGCAGGCAGGGCCGGCTCTAGGCACCAGCAAACCAAGCACTTGCTTTGGGCTGCACATTTCCAGGGGCAGCATCCGTGGGTGCTCTGGGACTGGAGCACCCACGGGGAAAAATTGGTGGGTGCTTTGCACCCACCAGCACCTCCCTGCACCCCCGTGCCCCAGCTCGCCTCTGCCTCCGCTCTGCCTCTGCCTGCTCCCCTGAGTGCGACGCTGCTCCGCTTCTCCCCCCTCCCTCCCAGGCTCGCCAGCTGTTTCGCGCTGCAAGCCTGGGAGGGTGGGATAGGAGGGGAAATGTGGCGTGCCCAGGGGAGGAGGCGGGGTTGGAATGGGGCGGGGGAAGAGGTAGAGTTGGGACTGGGCTGGGGGGGCACGGGAAAAAAGGGGGGGTGGCCAAAATTTTTTTTGCTTGGGGCGGCAAAAAACCTAGAGCCGGCCCGGAGTGCAGGATACTGGACTAGAAGACCTGTTAAGGTTCCTTCCAGTCGTATGATTCTATGATTTGAACTAATCGGCCAATATTTTTGTGTATACCTTTACAAGTATTGTCCCTACAGTCTGAGAGTCTGACTCCTGGTGTTTGCAGTATGTCTAAAGTGATTTGAGACAAGACAGCATAGTATGTTTTATCTGACCCTCAGGCAACAATGAAGTTCTGGAGTCACTTAGATCATTTACATTCTGGAGCATACATTAATACTCATTCTAAACTCAATCCTGGGCAAGCAATATAGGAACATCCAAGGAAACACGAGGGGGGATTCTTCTTGATGTGAATGCTTCCTGAAAGTGCTGGCATCCTCAATTTCCACTGAATTGGCATCTTACACCACTGATCCCTTAGGCTCAGCTCCTCAAAGGTATTTAGACACCTGGCTCCCAGAGCCCTGTAGTCACTGCTGATTTGCTCAGGGTCATACCTGGCAGCATCATGGGGAATCATCATATAGCAGGCGTTGTTTCTAGTGGGTCATGAATGGATTGGTTCTTGGACCTGCACTATTTAACATTCTTATTAATGGCATGGAAGAAGACTAAATCATCACTGATACATTTTCAGATGACACCAAAAATTGGGGGAGGGGTAAATAATGGAGTGATTTGAATCATGTGGTAAGCCGGGTACAAGTAATTTGCATTTTAATACGTATGTATTAAAGTTACACATCTAGGAATAAAGAATGTAGGCCATTCTTACACAATGGGGACTCTATCCTAGGCAACAGTGCCTCTGAAAAAGACTTGGGGATCATGGTGGATAATTAGCTGAACATGAGTTCACAGTGCAACTCTGTGGCCAAAAAGGCTAATGTGATCCTGGGATGCATAAATGGGAATCTCAAGTAGGAGCAGAAAGGTTATATTGGCTCTGTGTTTGGCACTGGTATAACCACTGCTGGAATACTATGTCCAGTCCTGGTATCTACAATTCAAGAAGGATGTGGCTAAATTGGGTAAGGTTCCTAATGCCTAACAGTGATAGACTCAAGGAGCTGACTCTATTTAGCTTACCTAAGAGAAGGTTAAGGGGCGACTTGATTACAGTCTGTAAGTACCTATATAAGGAACAAATATTTGATAATGGGCTCCAGTCTAGCAGAGAAGATCCAATGACTAGACTTTGAAATTAGACAAATTCAGACCGGAAAAGAGGCTTAAGTTTTCAGATAGTAGTTAATCTTTGGAACAATTTACCAAAGATTGTGATGGATTCTCCATCACTGGAAATTTTAAAATCAAGATTGGATTTTTTAAAAACAGGTGGTATAGTTCAGGAATTATTTTGCGGGAGTTCTATGGCCTGTGTTATATGTGGGTGAAACTATGCAATCACAGTGGTTTCCTCTGGCCTTAGAGTCTATGAATATGGCAGGGAGGAAGACAAGGTTCTGTGTTGGTCATTCACGAGTGTGCTTGGTAGCAGGAAGTGATGCTGTGAAAAGATAATAGACTAAGTGCTAATTCTGATGCTTGTAACCTTTCCAACAGGAGTAGGTCCCATACTTTTGTCAGTAGTTGAGATGTTTGTTAATCATTAAGATTTTGGAGCTGGGGAGGGTAGCATGGCAGAACAAGTTTGTAAGACAGGAGGAGGGCATTGTAACCCCATCTCTTCCACTTCCCTCTCCTGCTCCCTCATTTTAATTAATTGTCAAGTAGTTTAGGCCTAGAATTTGACCTGCCTTAGAATAAAAATTCCCTGATGGGAAAAATCCTGTGGATTCTAAATAGCTAGTTAAAACATACATATAGGAATAAGAAATCATTGCAATTTGTGTAGGACCTACACAAAACAATATCTTGTAATTTGTGCAATTGTAGATGATAAAAATTATTTCTAGAATTGTGTTGACCTCACTCTTGATCTTGCTGCACAAAGAAGGGAACATCTCAATAGCTACTAGTCATAAATTTTCTTTAAAAATGTTTTTTAACAGTTTAAAAACTATATTAAAAGATCTTTTTGGTTTTTGCTTCTTTAATTTTGTGTGTCTTCTCAATTTCTTTCGTTGTGCTTATTTATAACCTGCTGAACCTCACCTTGTGAGGATTAATATATTAATGTTTGTAAAGCTCTCCCAGCTCCTTGGATAAAAGATGCTATAGGTGGAAAGTAGTATTTGTAAACTGAAGAACAGTAAAGTCCCTGTAAAGTCCCAAAGTTCAGTGCAGAGGTTCCTGTAGCATCCAGCTGTGCTCCTACCCATAACTGCAGTTTGCACTTAACAAGTGTATTTGACAAGAGGCACAAAGTCTTAGTTTGCTTTGCTTGAGCTCAGGGAGTTGAAGCACACTCAAGATTTTCCATTAGTTACCTCACCTCTTCTTATTTGATAATCTTTGACACAAGCCTGTTATAGAAGGAAGTGGCACTGATAAGAGATAAGCAACAAAATTAACCCTTAGAAGTAAATAAAATGAGGAAGGGAAAAACTCAATAAAAAAAACACCAAGAGCATTTTACTTTGTTGATATGTGATATCAGAATAGATAGGATTCTGGTGGTTCTAGCTGTGAGCAAGAGAACTTTCCTAAGACCAAACTGTCTGATGCATGCAAGAAAACATAGCTCTGTAGCCCTGTGGCAGGGTGTCGTGAGCTGCTTCAAACTGGGCTCTATTAAAGCCAGCACCTGGTCACCTAGAACAATCAGGGCACTGAGTGGGTTGAAGGTAGGAGGGAGCACTTACACCTGGTGGTAGCCTGATGAATTAATGAGGTAATTAGCTCACCAGCTGGAGAACCCAGGAGGGAAGACAGGCAGTATAAAAAGCAAAACTAGGGTGCTGAAAGGGAGGGGGCTCCTCATAACTGCTGCTATATGGTTGTATTGTGCCTGGAGCTTACGAAAGAGACAAACAATAAATGCACATGGTGAAGATACCTTGGTGGACATGTGTGCTGCTCAATTCACCAAGAGGGCTTACCTGCCAGGGTTTTCCAGGAGAGGATAGGGGAGCCTGTTCACAAGCCCTTACACCTTCCTACTGCAAAGTGTTAAATTAGATGGCTGAAAATAAATTTAAATATAAGTACCCAAACATAAAGTATGGTACTAACTATGACCATTCATTGATGCTACACTTTCTTACACTCCATTGTTTATCAGGTTGTTTGGACAGTAAACTCTTTGGGGGAAAGAGCTTTCATGTGATTCTAATCTCATCTACCCTGGCATAAAACCAGTGTATAAAAAAGCAAACATTATTCTGGGATGTATTAGCAGGAGTGTTGTAAGCAAGACACGAGAAGTAATTCTTCTGCTCTGCTCCAAGCTGATTAGGCCTCAGCTGGAGTATTGTGTCCAGTTCTGGGCGCCACATTTCAGGAAAGATGTGGACAAACTGGAGAAAGTCCAGAGAAGAGCAACAAAAATGATTAAAGGTCTAGAAAACATGACCTCTGAGGGAAGATTGAAAAAATTGGGTTTGTTTAGTCTGGAGAAGAGAAGACTGAG